CAGAACAGGTTCTTGCGCCCACGCCACGGGACGAGCCAGAAACTTCCACCCCTTCAGTTCCTATTGTGCGGCAGGTTAGGATAGAGACCAGCCCAGGCGTAATGCGTCCTGCTACACTTGTGGTGTCCGGGCCTCCCGGCAGGGCTCCGGTGAGCTCATTCCCCTTTTCAGTTGCTCCTAGACCTCCCCACGGAGCTCTCCCCCATTGTACATGACAACTGACTCCTCCCCCAACCTAGGCCAGAGCCTCGGGTAATGCTGTGGTGTCCTGGTCGTCATTCCACTGAGCCCTGTAGAGTTTTGCATAGTGTAGCATACTGTATGTACACTGCACTAGACTCATGAGAAATATGGGGTTGACAGACTGCAGCCTAAGAAGTAGTTAATTGCTTCTCAGAATTGTATGAATACTGTGTAGCTAAAATATTAGAAGTCTTTGAGGTTAAGTATGACTTTGATATGTTGATATGATTTATGTGGAGGATAAACCAAAAAAATGTAGCAATGTCATCATGCTAAATGGTTGTTCAAGATTGTGTGATTGCAACCTTTTTGGTTTTCTTTTGAAATCATCCATATTTTTTGGCCATTGAGTTACTTTTATATGTAAACCTATATTCATTTTCTAACACAAGCTCTTACAGCTAACAACCTAATCCAAAAAAGAAATGCTTTATCCCTGAACAACAGAAGATATTTCATAATTAACTGCAATTTTTACACAACACACATTTCTGTCCTCTAAGTGATAATTGCAATATAAATTTCCATACTGCACTCCCGAACAATAAAGTGTCATTCTTATACCTTAATGAGTGGTAATTTCCTTTTTTTTTTTTGTTGTTTTAATCTGACATTATGCTTGCAATTGGAACCTTGCTAGTTTCCTTGTGTTGCATTTGTCTTTGCTTTTAATTTATTTATTAGAAAGGCTTTATAACATCTGAAAAGCACAATATTGTAGATAAGCTTTTCATCATAAAACAGACTATTAACCAAAATCAGGCAGCATTTATACAACAGTCTTAATTAAAGTTTATAAGTAAAAATGATTACAGTCAGTAAAGGTTTACTTTTTTTCTTACACAACTAAAGCTATAGAGTATTTACTAAGTATTTCCTTCAGCTTCTGATATAAGTGCAGGAAAGCCCTGGACACTTGTAACCACACTCAACAGATGTAGCATGTAAATGCGAAGTACACAGTGCAGAATTGAGAAAGGGATGACTTTACTAACAGATCCAAGTTCTGCCCTTGATTTATGGAAAATAAGAACTATTATTGCTTTGCTAGTAACTAGAGACCCATATTTCAGGGGACACCGGGAAGGATCCCAGAGCAACAAAAAATACTGGACGCAGATCGCAAGAAGTCTGAGATGGAAATCATTCTCAACAAGAAGAAGCCTGAGGAACAGGATCCTAAGATAAAAAGCAAGAGATCTTCCTATGCAGAGATCCAGCTTACCTCCCCTACCACCAAAGAGGCTCCAAAACAGGAATTCAAAACAGAAGTATGTGTGTAGTTGTCTTAAATTTGCTACTGTAATGCTTTTCCTAAATTATTATGTTGCTAGAAGGTGATAATATTTTTTTCACTTATTATATGTCTGAAAGATTCCTCTCACTTTATGATCTGACAGATTTTTTTTTCTTTTTTTTTTAGTAGGACATACAGAATAACATATAATCACACACACAACATAGTTGCAGTAAGAAAGTACAAAATACATAATTATTTCTGCACTATTTAGTTAGACTTCATTTCCACCTTTTCCCTTTATTCTCTCACTTTCTTTTCTCTTCTCTCCCTCTTTATCTATCTCCTTCTCCCCCTCCCTCCCTTTCTCTTGCTATCCCTCCCTTCTTCCCTTTCTTTTCCTCCCCCTCTCCTATTTCTCCTTATTTTCTTCCTCCTTCACTTAAGTTTGTTCTCATTCATCCATATTATATATATATATATATATATATATATATATATATATATATCTTTCTCCATCTTTTCTCAGGTCCGTCATAATGTAGCACCTTCTCGTGGAGTCGGAGAGGCACAGTTGCAGAGAGCTAAACGAGAGCGCATTATTCCAATCATGCTAGAGGATGACGATGATGATGATGACCGCACTACCAGTGAGAGCCTTTCTCATAGTGAGAGGTAAGAGGTATCAGTTTGAAAGGAATGTTGAATTCTGTGCTGGGAAGAAGATTTCTAATGATATAGGTTATGTAGTGTATACTGGGCAAGTATATATAAACATTTGATCTCACAGTAACACATTATAGATTTTTTGTAATTTTTGCACTATACAATTTTTTTTACCAAGATTTTGAACTTAAATCTATTATGTGAAAGGAAATGTTTAGCCTTCTTTTTCATATGGTATATGAATCTCATATAAGATTCCTGGTTTAGAGGGCTTCACTTTTTTCTATATTTTCTTATCATAGAGACGAGCCAATAAAATTTCCCAAGCGCTGTTATTTTTAGTGATAACACCAT